ACCTCCCTTTTTAGTCTTTTGGTCAAATATCCTGACTGTGTTTTCCAAAGTCCCTGTAGCAGATACAGCCACCTGGGGAAAAGGGGTCTAAGTTCTTATCTACACTTAGGAATCCTGGTTTAAGCTTCTCTTTGTCTGTAGGGGAGAAAGTGGGGGGTTTTACTGAGGTATCACAGTGGGTCTTCCCACTTCAAATGATCCAATCAAAAAAAAAAAAAAAAAAACAAAAAACAAAACAAAAACAAACAAACAAAAAAACCCTCACAGGCATGCCCAGCCTTTTGAGTTTTAGTTGATTCCAGGTATAGACAAGTTGTTATCCAAGATTAGCCATCACAGCACCTAAATTACTTAATCCCCCAATACTCAAATCTGCTAAAGTTCAAAACAACATCATGTAGCACAAATACAGAAAGGTCCTGTTCCATGTCTAGTTCATCTGTTTCATGACTCATTCATAGGGGAACTGTCAGGCATTATTTAGACGACCCCTCTGTAGTCATCTACAGGAGCCTGTTCCTTTTCCTCAGTTATCCAGTGAAGAACTCATCCTTTTAAAGACTCAGTAATCTCTTCCAAGCTTTTCATCTACCTCATTTCTCTTTGCTTCCTATATTGTAGTTTCTCAGTTACTAATATTTTTAAATGCAAGTACTGTCTCACCTCTGAGCTCCTCACAAAGCTCAGGGAAGATTTTTCCTAATGTATATTTGACTTCAAGTCTGAACTCCAGTCTAATAGACTACATTTTCTGTTTTCTATGGATTAGCCACTAGTCCCCGTCCTCTGCCACAAATGCCCCTTTACTCTATGTCTTCATTGCACATGGTTAATAATCAGTCTTTACTACTCAATAGTTTATCCTTCTTATCTATATTATAATAACTAGAGAAGCACTAGAATGTATACATTATGAGGGAGAGTACTGTGTCATAAAATGTCTATTCTCAGCATTTTTCATGTGTTTAATAAGTAAACATTGAACAGAACTGATGATAATTGAGAAGACATGAATTTGAAAAAGTCATAAACCTCTGCAAAAATGGATTCTGGTTCCTCAGTATTTGTGTTTGAGGTTTTAAATGCCTATTTCTCTCTACATGGTTGGGAGGCAACACAGTGCCCTATAATGGACTCAACAGTCCATTCCTATCCAAGCCAAGAACAATTTAAAGTAGTAGTCCATAGGAATGTCCCTTTATTGTCCTTTGCTTCCCAGAGCAATTTTATTTTTATTGCACTACAGCCCTAATAGGTATCACATGGGGATTTTCTAGAGTGTCCACTGAGATGGTAGGTATCCCTTAATATCAATAGAGGATTCTGCTGGTCCAGGAAGTTTAAGAGCGATGACTTTAGAAAATGAGTTAGGTCTGACATGCATAAAGCACAGTATATAAAAGTGTGCACTTTGGAGCTAGAGATAATACTACTCCAAGTCCTTAGAGTAGCAACACACGTTTAGTGAGTCTGCTTTTCACCCTTTGTAAAAACAAATCTGGAAATAGCTAACTTGCAGCATAGTTGAATAGATGATTGACAGTATCTGTGCCCGTGATTACCATGTAGTAAATGTTTAATAAATGCTCACCACTATTTGGTCCAGCACTCTAGCTCCTTCCTTCAGTTCAGTGATATAGTACATCTTTCACTCCCTCTTGAGTATATTCTGCCCCCAGAACCACCCCCATTCCTCTTTCTGACATGACCTCAAAGAAACTCACAGAGCTTTTAAATTGAAATATCCACTTATGTTTCTTGTTGAACAATTATTCTTTAAAACATCCCCAGATAGCCCCAATGTCTTACAGAATAATCACAGTGATCATATTAATTGCCTCTATAACATGCAACTCATTATTGCTGCTCCTTTGAACAGGACATTCATTTTCTCCTATAGAAACTGACTCTATCTTTGTGTGACTAAAACCCGAAGTGATTCATTTAATAGAACTGACAATTTTGCTCACTTCTGCTTGCTAGTCTTGGATTATATTTGGCTGCTTTTGAGGGATAATACTTTCTTTGGTTTTAGATTCAGGTTCTGCCACTTATTAGCTTAATGAGACTGGTTACAAGGTACACATATTTCTTATCTTTCCAATGAACTGAATTATAGACAGCTCCCAGAACCAATGGATGGAACTGTTGACAACATTTTGAACACTTATGCAAGTGTTGCAAGTGAAAGCGATAGTATATCTCTAGCCACACTTCACTACACTATGTTAAGACTCATATGAAGTTTATTACTGAGTGGGACTTCTTATGCATGGAATGGAAAGTAAGGCAAGTTCTATGCTCACCCAAGTACACATTCTTCATGGAGTTGACAGCAAGCTTCTGTTTATTCTTCTCCTATGCCTCTATATGCAATTAGCACAGCAAGTGTATCAGCAAGAAGAGGGATTGTCAACTGACAGTTCTGGACATTTTCTGTTTTTGGGTGGGAGGGTAGTTTATAAGAATAGTTTATAGCATACCTCATTTCTTAGGGAGTGTATGCCTTCTTCATTTCCAGAGAAGATGTAATAGAAAACACCTCACTAAGCCACCACATTTCCCAAAAATACATGTCTTTTTTTTGTTGCTATATTTTAATGAAATCATATACTGTGTCATAGTATGTTTGTCAATATGATATATATATATATACATATATTAATATATAACATGTGTTACAATATATGTTATATATTATACACGTAGATAGGATTCATAGGAGGGTATAATATTTATATTATAGAGATACCATAGTATTCTCATGGTGTCAAAGTCATGTAATGATGCGATTGTCAGAACATATCCCCATTAGGTAAAGCAAGACTACACTTGACTCAGGATGGGGATAGATTGAAGACAGTTGTTTTGCCCAGCTACTGAAGCCTCTTTATGGGTCTGTAGATGTGGAAAGTTGACTTGCTCAAATAGCCTGTGGAGACTGAATCGTATTTTGCTTATGACTGTAAAGGCTAGGCTAGTGCAAGCATGATCTTCTCACTGTGGTCCTCAATCACTGATAATGTCTGGCATCTTTGGAACATTTAAAATATTAAGGAGTATATTTGTTTATTATCATGCAAAGATATCAATAGCCATATAGTACTATAACAAAAGATTCTAAGTATTCTGATATGTAGAATAGCCACATAAAATGAAAAATTGCCATTACCAAATTGCAAATACAATATTGCACTGAAAAGAAATGCACTGGGTATCAACATTTGATTAACTAGTGATCTACTTAATGCCAATAGATGAACTTATAAGCTGTATTTCATTTACATTTAATTTGTTATTGATGATGATGTCTGTCTTTCATTCTTCTTGACCATGTTTTTATTGAAAGTTATTAAGAATCAAATACTCATAGATCATTTTAGATTGTCTGTTATTAATTTATTAGGTATGTAACATAGTAATCAGTTTATATATATATATATTTTTTACAGAGTCTTCTATGGGTTTCTTTAGTTTCTCTCAAAATGTGTTGTGTTTTATCATTTGTTTCAGAAATATGGGTCGTATGTATCATAGGCTAGCCTCAAACCCACAATAAGATCAGGGATGCCCTTGAACTTCTGACCTTCCTTCTTCTAACTTCCCAGTGCCAGGTTTACATGTATTTATCACTATACCAGGTTTCAAGCAGTGTTGTATTCGATGTTTTGTGTATGCTAGGCAAGCACTCTAACTAAGCTACATTCCCATTTTTTTTCTTTTGTTTTGGAATGATCCATGGAAAGGTATAGATAGAAGTGTGTGTTACTGAAAATGCAGTTTTATGCAGATACTAAATATTTCATTTTTATGTATGTATGATTATATGTACATATATTCAAATACATACATACATATATATGTATATATATTGTTTTGTATCTGAGAAATGCTATTTTGTGTTCAGTACCAGGTTTTCCTTTTCTTGCAATAGTTCCTCTAATTACTAATAACTAGTTGCTCACAGTCTTTGATAGTATGTGTCATATGCACAAAGCTAGGCCAATATGGCTGTGCAGGAAGCTAAAACATTAGATGGAAAGGGGATAAATTTTTTCTTATTTTCTCTTAAAAATTCAATCACATTGATATCAATATTGTTAGGAAGGATAAGAGTTCAGATTTGTCACTAACACAGAAAACAAGTAGCTGCCAAAAGAAGAGATCAACATAGATAGTTGTAGGATATATATTCTCACACTGTCCGAAAGAAGGAAATGGTGTCTGTAGGGGAGTTCTGATGCTTGATTTACAGTCAAAATGTTAAATAAAAGCTCAAATATTTCCTGACGTCATCACCATTTTCATGTCCTTGACTTCTTTTCTCTTGCTAGACCCGTGGAAATATTTACAGTGTCATTATAGGCTGCTCATAGATCTTGTTGGCCCAGTTCTGAGAGGAATGCATGGAGGAAGGATTTCACTTCATGTAGACAGTCACACATATGGTCATCTGAATGTGTGTGGGTGAACTTCACCACATGTAGACTTTCACATATATATCCTTCTGAATGTATGAAGCATGACCTTCATTGTAGATGTAGACACTCATACAGTCCAGAACTTGAGCATCTTAAAGATGGCTTGACCTTGCATGGTCCTCTAAATATCAGGTCCATCAGTGGAATAGCTGTAATTGTTTCATATATTATAACTTGTAGATCTTGGATAGGTATTTTTGTTGTTTGTTTGTTGCTTGTATTGTTTTTGTCTCTTACTATTAAAAATAGCAAAAGGAGCTCTCTCACTATTAATCTGTTACCTGTGGAACAATTTTTCTTTACAGGGATGTCTATAGTCAACAGAGCCAATGAAAATCAAAAAGAGAATCCAGTCCTAATATTTGACTTTTCTGTCAGAGCTGTGTAGGAATCCTTCTGTGAACCATAGAAATAATAAATGCTGAGCCCATTGGAACATAATCTCAATCAGCAAGATGCCACTGCCTTCCAGATTTCCTCACAGGCTCTGTTAATTCCATGCCAAAACTAGCCATGAATTTCTTCCTTTTAATATCCCCTAATGCCTTAGTTAATTATTGTCATTGTTCTGACTCTCCATTTCTCAACTGAACCAGTTAGAGGAGGCTGAATATCTGCAGGACTTAATCTAAGACCACAGAAGACCCCAGTCCATCTGAATTGACAAAACTAAGACAAAAAGAATAAAGAGAACCCCTAATATTTTCCTGGCAACTCCTTCATCTATTGGATTGCTGACTGGGCACAGGCTGGGATGAGGGATATGAGGGGTTTAGAAGAATTCTCCAGTTGATTGTCACAGGAGAGCTGGCTGAGGGGAAGAAGAAGCTGGAGGAGGGTTACCTGGCATCTCAGTGAACCATAGGATGGTGGTGCTTCTCCCCTGGCTGTCCATGATTCTATGGTAAGAAGATTTTTCTGACTTCCCCCCTTTTTTTCTTACAGGGAAGGGAGAGCATATATCCACTGGGTATATTTTATATTGCACAGTGAAATAAAACAGGAGTGGTGTGGCCGGTATCTATGATGGGGTAAAATAGCATCCATGAAACAAGGTATTTTATCTGAGGCTAGGTGTGAGAATTTTTGACTCTCCATCTTCAGGCTAGAAAATGCCCAAGCTCAACTTGAAGATGAAGGCAATTTCTACTCTGAAAACGTCAGTCGGATTCTTGACAACTTGCTGGAAGGCTATGACAATCGTCTACGACCAGGATTTGGAGGTAAGACACTGCGTTGTGCTTAGAGCAAATACTTGAACTTTCATTCCTCATTTATAACCCTTCTAAGACCCAGAGGAGTCAGAAAAGAGGCATTGATAGAGGGAGGGGTACCAAGACTTTCACACTCCTTCCTCAGTCATTGGCCCTATGTAAGTTATTTGAACTCTATAAGCTTTACTGTCTTAAACAGAGGTGTGTGTGTGTGTGTGTGTGTGTGTGTGTGTGTGTGTGTGTGTGTTGTGTGTGTGTGTGTCTGTATGTGTGTGTATGGACATCATTGACTCACAGGATTGTGTGATTGTAGAAAGAAAGAGCTTTTCCATGTGTGACATTTTTCTTTCTATTTGTCCTTTGAAAGCTGTCAATACAGATGTTATTATCATCATCAGTAGCAGTATTAATTATTAGGGCACACAGATTTTGTCATCTTCCACCCCTTAAGAGTTTCCTACTATGAATAGAATGACTTTAAAGTAATTATTGTATGTTTTCAAAGTTTAAAAACTGAAGGACATCTACTAGAGAGGGGTGGAAACAGGAAGAGCTTTAATTTTCAGGTATGTGAAAGGTTGTGTGGAATCACTAAGCTCTGGTAACAGCACACATGTTAATAGCCTCAACCTTCTTGGCTTATTTCAGGTGCTGTCACAGAAGTCAAAACAGATATCTATGTGACCAGCTTTGGGCCTGTGTCAGATGTGGAGATGGTGAGTACATTGGATACTTTCATTTAGGAAGGAGAGCTGCAGCTTAGGACTAATGATTATAGGTCTTGCCATTCATCTCAGCACACAATATGTATATTTATTTCCAATGGGAAGATGTGTAAACTAGAACAAATTACTGGCTCTGCTTGGACACTTGAAGACAAGCTAGTTTTTTAAAAAAATAGCCTCTCTTCCATTCACATATTATACAATGACTAGTCCTACAAAGAGAAGAATTTCTCCTTTTTTGTGAGGTCCTAATAAAATTATTTGTTAAGAAATTCTTTTTTAAAGCTTCTTGCCATGTAAACGTATCCTGCTAAGTATGATGTCAAGACATACCCATTGTTTGTTGTGCACCATCCTCAGTGCATTTTATCCAAACAGTGAAGAAGTCTCTTGGATAGGTTCATGCTTTCCACCTTGTACATTGCGGATGCATCAGTGGGTGTTCTGGAGACTCTGTTCCAGGTACAGATGGCTGTAGGATTCGTAAGAGGGTATTTATGGAAAGTGGCAAAGAAAGCTGAAGTCGTCTTTCTGAACAAAGTGTATCATATTCCTTCCCTGTTTTCAGGTAGTATTTTTTTTCTCCCAAGGCTAAAATACAAGCACCAAGACTGAAACTATCATAAATGTCTTCAAAGAAGGATGCCATTGGCTTTTCTTGGGAAATTTTAATCCTGTATAAATGGTTGCTGGTAAACTTCTTTTAGAAAGGATATGAGAAGATGAAATAAGTAAAGAATAGGTGGATAAAAAGGAAAGGAAATGGTAGCTAGCAGGACAAAACAAAAGGAAGAATGGAGAAAAAGAGGGAGGGAACGAGAGAAAGAGGAAGGGAGGGAAAGATGGAGAACGGAATGGAGAAAAGGAGGGAGATACAGATGAGGGGCAGAGAGTGGGGAGGGGGCTTTTTTGAGAAATAAAAACTTTAAGATTTGGAAAAGGAGAGTGGGTACAGGATACTTGTTATTTTAGTGTCATTTTTTTTCCCCTTCGAGTTCTGCATTATTTCCAGAAACCAAGTATTGCAGAAACTTGGTGCTACAATGCTCTAGTCTAGATTTACTTTACTTTCATTTTGATCATGTGTCTTTTCTTAGAGTACTTTTGTGTAATTGCATCCTTATGTTGCATGGTTTATGATTGTATAGATTTTATACTCTGTATTAAAATTTGCTTTTAAAATTTAATCACTATTTATAGAAATAAGTATTATATGGTAGGCAAAAATCATTGGCAATACTTCAAAATAATGGTAAGGCTTTTGTCATTGACTTCTGTGATAGCCTCATAATTATCTTTTAAAAATTAACATTATCCCATAAAGTCATGGTTTAAAAATCAAAATGTGGTATTTATATCGAATATTTTATTTTCTGTTTAAAATCATCTTGGTAGCATCTGCTTGTATGTTCTCTGACAACAACATCAGAAATCCATGGTATGTGATCTTAATTTGTTAGTCAATGAAAGTTTATATTGTTGGAACTGTACTGAATGGGAGTATTGCCCTCTGAACCTACTGTGAAGGTAAGTGAGGTGCCATGAAGAATTGCTAGACTAGCTAAAGGTAGGACGTCAAGCAGAAGCTTGAACTATAAATATTTTTATGTGTGTGTGTGTGTGTGTGTGTGTGTGTGTGTGTGTGTGTGTGTGTGTTTTCAAGTTAAAGGGGATGGCAGAGAAAAGACCATGGCTGCAAAGTTGGCTGGATGAATAGTCATGGATGAAAAATGTTGAGCAGATTAAGGATGGAGAAGGAGTTTGGTCCAGTATATTTTTCTTTTATAATCTTACAGACCTTGTGAGTTTGAGAAAAACAAGGAGTCACCCAAATCTGTTTAGGATTGAAAATCATTTACCGATTATAATGAAATATTGATTCTAAAAAATATTATTAATTACCAAATTATTCAGCTTCATTAAGAAGTTATTGGTGTGAACTTTGCTGTCTTGATTAAATTTAGAATTATGTATAAATGATGAATAAACTATTTCACAGGACATTTTCAATTCTGTGTGAATATTTGGTTTTTCTCTTAGGAGTATACAATGGATGTTTTCTTCCGCCAGACTTGGACTGATGAGAGACTGAAGTTTAAGGGTCCCGCTGAGATTCTGAGCTTAAATAACTTGATGGTTAGTAAGATCTGGACTCCTGACACTTTTTTTAGAAATGGGAAAAAGTCAATTGCTCACAACATGACCACCCCTAACAAGCTCTTTCGATTAATGCAGAACGGAACAATTCTGTACACCATGAGGTGAGTTGCTCTTTTATTTCTGCTGCCTTGAGGATGGGTCCACCATAGTAACCAGAAGTATGTGTTTCAATGTCTCCAGACTTACCATCAATGCCGATTGTCCCATGAGGCTGGTCAACTTTCCTATGGATGGGCACGCTTGTCCACTCAAATTTGGGAGCTGTAAGTTACAAAAAGTTTCTAGAAATAAATACTTATTTGGTTTTAGCTGAAGATTGGGAAAATGAAAGAAAACATTACTAGGAAACTCTCATTGTGAGTTCAGGAATATGTTTTCTGTCAATATTAGAAGTTTCCATTATTAAGATGTTTTAAAAAGCAACAAAATGTATCTTTCTCAATCAATGAGGCAGGTAGTGTTTATTTTGAATGAAAGAAAGCTAACCAGTCTTATTTAGTGTTGTGTGTCATTTGATTAAAAAATGCAGATGCTTACCCTAAAAGTGAAATCATATATACATGGAAAAAAGGACCACTTTACTCGGTAGAAGTCCCAGAGGAATCTTCCAGCCTCCTCCAGTACGATTTGATTGGGCAAACAGTTTCTAGCGAGACAATTAAATCTAACACAGGTAAGAATATTTTTAGAAAAACATCTAATACAACTCTAGTATATATTTTCAAAATATCTAGTATTTTATTTCATTCATATGAGACGTTACAGGCTAAATTTACTATTTTGAAGTGATGTCTTAAAAAAATCTGTTTGTGCCGGGCGGTGGTGGCGCACGCCTTTAATCCCAGCACTCGGGAGGCAGAGGCAGGCGGATCTCTGTGAGTTCGAGGCCAGCCTGGGCTACCAAGTGAGTTCCAGGAAAGACGCAAAGCTACACAGAGAAACCCTGTCTCGAAAAAAAACCAAAAAAAAAAAAAAATCTATTTGCAACTGGGTAAATAGGAAAACTTGGGTAATCTTGGAATGAATTGTTGTATAAATACATGACAAAAGGTGTCATTAAAACCAATAAACTGATATGTCTCTTTGCATATGATCAAGTAGTACTTTTATATATTTTAAGACCATGTCTTTGCTTGTTCTCTTCCAGACCATGCTAACTTTAAAATTTGCACATTTTATGTTCAATGCATTCATTTTTCTGTCAACAGCAGCCTGACTAATGAGCATGTCTTCCAACAGGTGAATATGTAATTATGACAGTCTATTTCCACTTACAAAGGAAGATGGGCTACTTCATGATCCAGATATACACTCCATGCATTATGACAGTCATTCTTTCTCAGGTGTCTTTCTGGATTAATAAGGAATCGGTTCCAGCAAGAACTGTCTTTGGTATGCCTCACACTTTGTGTTCTATTTCCATTCAGTTTTCACTTCCTAATGCTTGTGCTTTTGTGGTGAATATTGATGACTGTGTGTTCTCTTAATACACAGAAGAAATGGTCATATGTCAGATAAAATGACTCTCATCTTTTTATAAGTTGTGTGGTGAATCAACAAAAAAATTGTTCCTCCCAATAATTCTGGCTCTTTCCTATGACTTAAGTGTGTCTTAGTTAGTAGTGCTCAGCATAAAGGAAAAACCTGACTGGGAGGTGGTGGCACATGCCTTTAATCACAGCACTCAGGAGGCAGAGGATCTTTGTGAGTTTGGATCCAGCCTGGTCTACAGAGTGAGTTCCAGGACAGCCAGAGCTGTTACATAGAGAAATCTTGTCTCAAAACAAACAAACAAAAACCCTGTTGTGTACATCCAGGAGAACAACTGGTTAATATAGGGAATCTACTCCTATGAAATATATCTCACTTTCATTGGGTTGAATAAAGTGAAGATGACACTTGAAGATCCCAAAGTAGATAAATATTGACAATTTCCTATAACTTAGTCAAATGTTTGCTTCCACTTTTGAAGTATAAAATCACTACTTGATGGAGAAAACTGAAATAATAAAAGCAAGATTGGTAACTAAATACTATGAGAAGCAAAACCATGTTTTTCTTGCATTTTTCATTGCTATAAATTTAATACTCCATATGAAAGATCTGAGTTGAATCAGAATCTCAGATAAATCTCATATATATATATGATTTATTATATTAGAATGGATCTACTTTTCAAATTTATGAGAAATAAAAATCTTCATATGGGTACCATCAGTATTACATATCTACAATATCTACAAATTACATAAATTCTCTGTTACAATTCAAGCAGAAAAACTTCTGCCAGGAAGATGACAGAATTCTTTTTCTTGTGGATAAATACTTTATCTTTTTTTTATTGAATAACCTAATTTCACAATAATTTTCTACTCATTTGTAGTGAAAGATTCCCTCAACTACAGAAATCAAAGATGCAAGATTCTAAAAATTTAAATCATGGCAATTTGTTACATATTCTCAGTCAGTAAACAAATAGAACTGTCCACGATTTACATTTTACTCTAGTTAATTTAGTGCAGCAAATGCTTTTATAGAAAGTTTATTTTATAGGTCACTAGGCTGAGATGATACACAGATGGTAGCACCCGTGATAATGTATTACACTAACTAAAATCACTAGGGGGTTGCCGATGAGTGAGTCTCCTTACTAACTGGCCCTTATTGGATCTCCTTACAGGATTCTTAATGCTAAATAGTGCGTTTCTCCTTTTTCATTTCAGGAATCACCACTGTTTTAACCATGACTACCTTAAGCATCAGTGCCCGGCACTCCCTGCCCAAAGTGTCCTATGCAACTGCCATGGATTGGTTCATAGCCGTGTGCTTTGCTTTTGTCTTTTCTGCTCTCATTGAGTTCGCCGCTGTCAACTACTTCACCAATCTCCAGTCACAGAAGGCTGAAAGGAAGGCACAGACTGCGGCCCCGCCCCCTGTGGCAATATCAAAAGCCACGGAACCACGGGAAGCTGAGATTGTTGTGGTAATTGTTCCCTCTTCTATTGTTACCCAGCAGATAGAGAAAGCAAGCTCTCAGTGGCAACACACATACAAATAAGCAGTCCGAAACAGGATTTGTTGAGCATAAATTATATAACTAAAGTTGCTTCCCCCTTCACAGGGTGAAGCTGAAGAAAAGCCTTCATTTATCTTTGCTCTCAAGTTTTGCTATTCTTTCATCATCCTTCCTTGTACTGGCAGACTCTAGGCTCTCAAAGGAGACTAGAAAATTCTGCTTAGCCTTTAGAAGTTTCCTTTGAACAGGTTCCCTTATAGTGACTAGGGAAAATAATTTTTTTTTTTTAAGTCCTAATGAGGCTTCCAGAGTTTGAAGGAAAACAACTCCTGTGGCATGAGTGGTTTTGTGAGGAAAGTCCATGGGCTGCTTTATTTTGTAAGACAAAGAGGTGAATTGTGAGTATAGGTTCTCTGAATGAAGGTATGACCCATATACCCCAAGTCCATTAAAACATGATCACATTTACATGTGTGTATGAAGTACATGCATATCAGTTAGCTCATACTCAAAGTTTATTAGTACTGAGAAATGCTCATAAACTGTCTTTAAATGTGCTGCATGCAAGCCTTTATCTCCAAAATTTTTCGGAATCAGATAAATGATATTATTCATATTTAAAGGGTCATAGACATACTGCCAAATTTCATTCTCATTTATGAATAAATCCCTACCCTCTTTTAAAAATAGATTATAAAATTGATTGACATAGATTTTTTTATCCTAATACAAACTTCAATGAGCAGCCCTTGACTAAGAAGGAACATTTCTTCTGTAAACTTAAGTAACACAAATAATCTGACTCTGCAAATCATTATTCATTAAATCTACTGGATAGTTTCTAATCCAAAAAACACATGTTAGTCAGGAACCCTTAGCTTGACTATGTGATGAAAACTATAACACAATGTATCTTTTACTTCCCCAAGTTGGTGGCATTTATTGTGTAAAACGGGCCACAATTTGTATTAAGCCTTTTCTGTTTCATAGGTTGAGGGTTTTTGTTTGTTTTAAAGAATTGACATTTCTCTTGGAGTAATGAAGTCATCACATTTGGTGGAAATATGTAAATTTTTTATTCCCTAGTATTAATTTACATTAGGAAAAAGAATGAACGAAAGAAAAGAATGCAGAAAGGGAATAAAAGGGAAAAATGCCATCTATTGATCCATTCGAAATTTCCTGCTTTTACAAACAGGAAAATCCTGTCTCAGAGGTCATAGCTGAGCAGGCATTCTTAAATATCATGGTGGTTGCCAGAAATATGACCTGGTGGAAAAATCAATAATTGATTCCAGAATTTCTGTTGTCTACAACATTATAGGCTAATACCATTCCCTCTCTATCAATGTCTGAAGGAAACAAATGTACCCGAGCATGTACTGGATAAAACTGATTTTTAAATGTAGATAACATCATTCCCCCAAGTCTTCTTTTGACCTAGTGATGTTCTCTGTTTATAAATATATACAGAGAGAACACATATATATGTATATATATTATGAAAGAATTTATAACAAAAATATGTTCTAGGTTTAGTCTGATATGCTTGAAAAACATTTTCAGGCAAGTTAAATTTCAAATGTTTAAAAAATATTTTATGCTTGTGGAAAAAAATGAATTCTGTATGTATGTATACACATATAATCAACATCATCCAAAAGTATAATTGAATTTAGCATATATCTTTAAATGATTATTTATCAGAATTCAAACCTGTTTAATAAGAGGTCATTGAAAAGGAAGCAGCAGAAGTAATACACAGTGAGGAGCTAAAATCTGGTCTTTGCAGAGAAAGTTGAACAAAGCGTGGTCACTTCCCACTCTTCCCAGCCCCACCCTGCTAAGGTTTTTTGTTTTTTCTTTTTGTTTGTTTGTTTTTTCCAGAGAAGATGATAAAGTCTAAGTTTGAGGAACAGGGCAGAAAAGAAAAATAAACTCATCAGAAATAAGATAAATAAAAAGCAATTAAAATGATTTTGAATATACGCATTGATTTAATTTTGGAATAAAATGAAAAAACAGAAGTCAATCCCCTTTCTTTATTTTTGCAATATATAGTACCAGGAGGCAGGGGACCTGATTTCAAATCTTTGGAAAAAAACTTAAGAGTTATCAATACCTCAGGCTATTATTTTAAAGGTATGTTTTTAAAAGGTATAATATAAGATCCCAGGTATTCATATATAAACTATCTCTTATGATGCAAAAACAATAAGATGGTGGTAGGTCATCTAGAAAGCTACATTTAAAAATGCATTTAAATCACCTCAGAAAAAATTCTATTACAAGTTCAATTTGCCCTTATGAAAAATTCTATTTTCTTGAACTTTACTTAATATATTTGAAAACAGTGAACAGGATATTTTTTGTTTCTGAAAGGCTAAAGTGCAAAAATTAAAAATAAAACTTACCAAACCAAAAATATAAATCTTAAAGGTAACAAAGATCAAAATACATGTGATTATGTAGGACATTCATATTTCATTTGTTCATGGCAAAACTTAGCAAATTACTTTGCAGACTAAGAACAAATGTAAATTGCATATTGGCTATTTATGTTATACAATGGTATATTATGATTGCAAGGTCAGTTTATTTTTTTCCCAAATACCATGACATTTAAAAATGACTATTCAGTTGTAACCAACACATTATTTTAAAGAGCTTGCCATTGAAACTACAGATTAGTATGGTAAAGTTGAAGTACATTAATTTGCTTGTTTCCTTGTTACTTTAAAGGTCTAAACCCTCTTTGCCATATTCTTGAGTGTGAATACTCTTTATACCCACCACTGTTCCCTTTAAGAGTACTTTTTCTAATATGGCATGCATTCCTTACAAGAGGTGTGACAGTTTTTGTAAATCTGCATGTAAAATCTGCACATAAAATTGATCAAAATTTCATTAGCAAGAACAGACAATAACTATATATTAAATGTCCTTTTATATACTCTTTGCCACCCACTTGTTGAGGGACTATGGTACATTTTTCATACCTTGAGTATATGTAAATATTCTTTGGCAGAATATGGAGTGTCACCATAGGATCTTTCTCCAAATGAAGCCTTTTGTGCAGCAAGAAGAGAAATTCAATGGGAGAGTTGAGCCTATGAGCAACTGTGATTAAGGCTGTAGCAACTGTGAGATACAGGGTAGCATGAAAATATCTATGTGAAAGTGTCTAATTTTGGAGGAGTCTGCATTTCTAGAAGGGTGATTTCAAAGATGAAAAGAGAGATGAGCTTGGCTTAGATAGAAGCCCTAGGCCAATTGTTAGCAACTTGGACATGGAGAAGGATATAAAACTGTTCTTTCTACCTTCCTCTTCAAGGTGAAGATATATGCCATGCCCTGAACATGCTCTAGTCAACTATGCACAGAGATGTGAAGAAGAGAATGTCAAAAGTTACTTCTGCTGTTCCAAATTTGGCTAAAATGTCTTTGAACCACATGATTACTCCCTAGAAATAAGGGTTGAATTAAGACTATGAGAGACTCTGAAAAGCAGAAAGCTCCAGGTGCCCCTTCTCCATGATTGTTTCATCCATGAATTATGGGGAGACAGGAGTGGATTAGGTGAATTGTCATTTGTGAGACTTTTCTCCACATAGTCTATCAAATCTGCACACAGTTTTCCAGTCTGCACAGTGCAAACACTAGTCTAGGTTTCTTAGCACCGCTGATACATAATACAGATGCCAAGCAGCCATTTCTCAGAGGACATTCTGGAACCCTCTATGCTTTCAATAATACCTGCTCCAATATAAACTTTAAAAAAAAAAATATTAGTGCAGTTCTAATTTTGCCATAATATTACATAATGCTTTTGAACACTGTTTAATTTACAAATACTGTTTATTTGTTTTTTAATTTTGTCTTATTTTGCTGTATACATTGACTGGTTCTATAAATAATTGTTTTGTTCATTGAGTAGTGAGACTTGATTAGAATATCTCTGTTAGATATATTTGGGGCCTTGAAAGATAGCTCACTGGTTAAGAGTACTAGCTGCTCTTGCTAAGGACCCAGGTTCAGTTACCAGCATTGACATGGGGGCTCATAACCATCTGTAATTCAAGTTCCCGGGGATTCAATGTTCTCTTCTGGCCTTCTCAGTCATAAGGCACAGCACACACATTGTGCAAAACATACACACAGGCAGAACATGCATAGAAATTAAATAAAAATAAATAACTAAAAATATTTTTAAAAGATTATACACTTTGGCCACCTTATCTAAAGTAGCAGGCTAATATAATGTATTTCCTTAATACTTTATCCCTACATCAAATAACTGATTATCATATTGTCAACTTTAACTCAAGGTACCTTTGCAATAGAACGTTACTTAAAACAAAGAGGTGCTCTAAAAATACCCAGAGCAGGATGGCACTCAGCAGCAGGGGAGCCCAGGAAAATTTCAAAACCACAGGTGTTCCACTCAAAACACTGACAGCCCCAAGCTGAGCCCTCATCTGGACTCCGACAAAAGCCTATTTTACCGTCAACCTAAGCTCGCTTATAACAGAGCAGGTAGGGTCTGATGCAAACCTGTAGCTTAAAGGGTTTGCAAAATTTGCTCTCTTTTCATTTCAGACATGTGATGCTTTTCTTCTAAGTTGGCACCTACCATATTCTGGCTGCCAATTCTTAACAATCCAGTAGCTGCTGGATTAGCCAGTGCACAGCATGAAATACAGAACCCCTGCATTCCCTTTAGAATGTTACATTTGCTTCTGTTAGAACCCCCACCCAACCCCTACCTCCACTCCAACTCTTTACCCCATGTCCAGTCACTGTTGGGCAGGGAAACAAACAGGATTCTAAAACAGCCATTCTCAAGCTACTTTCCCAGCAGGCATTTGACAGTGTCTGCACATTATCACAAATTGGAGTGAAGGTACTATTGGTAACCTATAAAAAGAGGTCTTGCCATTGACCAATAACATGGAGGGCAGTCTTCA